TTGTGTATTGTATGCTACGACATGAACTCACTCTGTGGAGGGTTCACGTCCGTGGCCCGCAGTGAGTTGCAGGAGCCGTTCTGTTTGGGTCTAGCGCCAAGCTCCCTGTTCTCTTTCGATGAATTGGTGTTTAGATTCAGACTCTGAGTTTGACTTTGTGTTTTTGTTTCATCTGTCTTAAGGGTGAAGTAACCACCTTCTTCAGCTACAATCTTCTCAACCTTCTCCATCAGCTGGGGCAGTTGTGGGTGTTCGCCAAAAATATAGTTATTGATGACGTGGTACCTCTTCTTACACTTGTCCACCACCCACTGAAGGTCACGACCTTCCCTTCGTATATGTCTTTCTATGGACCTGTCCTTCAAAACCTCCGCCCAGGTGAAAACCAGCATGGTGTGCTTCCACACATCCTCCCCAAAAAGTGCTATGTTCTCCTCTATACGAGCCCGGTCTGTTTCGGTGAACATGCCAACAGGTATGACCAGCAGGAATGCATGGGGTCCAGGTGGGCACAAAGTTACGCTTCTGACCATTTCCTGCTGGTAGTCCGCCGGTGTGGTCTGGGATGAGAACCAGCCAGGAGTGTCTACTACTGTTACTTTGCGCTGATCCACCTCAGTTTCACGCTTCACGCAGAATTCGGCGGCACGTTCCAGACGAAACTCTTCACGGCCCAAAATGGTGTTGCCGGTCAGGCTTTTACCTGGCCATCGCCAACCCAGCAAGATCAGCCGGAGTTCTGGGAGGCAGTTAGCTTCACGGGCAGCTGCTGCCAAACGTTTCTGTTCCTCAGGGTCGAGTTGGTCATCAGCTGTAAGGTACCAATACATTATTATTTGGGAGGGGCTGGAAGGGAGTAAACTGACAGTCGGGCAAATTATAATATATTTCTCAAAAATACAGTAAAACAATAATATTGTGAAATATTAATTTAAAACAAATGATTCCTATTTTTTATTTATTTTCAAACGTAATTTATTCCTCTGATAGCAAGGCTAATTTTTGCAGCCATTACTCCAGTCTTCAGTGTCACATGATCCTTTAGAAACCATTCTAGTATGAGTTAGTGCTCAAGAATCATTGCTTAACCATGGTAATTTTTTCTTTAATTAATAGAAAGTTCACAAGAACAGCATTTACTGAAAATAGGAATCTTGTGAAACTTTATAAATGTATTTACTATCATTTTGATTAATTTAATGCATCCCTGCTGAGTAAAAGTTTTATCAAAAAAAAAAAAAAAAATGAACAGTAGCGATTGTTTACATTGTATTCTACTTGATATTTTTATCATATTTTTTTTTATTTTTACTTTTGAATATATTAATAACTGGCCCAATACAATACGCCTTTATTCCATTATTGAGTCATATGTCACGCAAGCTTTACTCAGAAATGTCTTTCTCAATGATGTAAACTCTGAAAGCACAGAGTGCCTAAATCTGAAATGTGACCTTATGACATCTAGTTTTTCCTTTTAAAGGGGTCATATGATGCTTTTTTAAAGATCATTATTTTGTGTATTTGGTGTAACAGAATATGTTGACATGCTTTAATGTTCAAAAAACACATTATTTTTTGCACGCGCGCGCACACACACACGATGCGCAAAACTCCACATTTGAACAGTCAATAGCAAATACTTAAACTAGTAACAAAACATACTTACAGTCGCTGATTCAGAAGCGCCAGATTGTCATAGCAAAGTCAGAATTACCTCCTCTCCTAGGTTCATGAAACGGTCGTCCATAAAATGCATTGCTGTTCTGTTGTAAGTAATCTTAAAGATTCCTAAATGCATCTACTTTCGGAAGGCCAAATAAAGTGCTTTTGCTTTAGCCTAGAAACACACAGCGTCTCCCTGACATGGCTGCTTCAACACTAACTGCGGTTACTGAAACCACGCCTTCTTTCTTTGCGTGAACATTTGGGCGCATTATGCAAATATTTCCACATAGTGAGGTAGATATGTGGGGGCGTGTTAGAACGAGCCGTTTTAGGGGGGTGTGGCAGAGTCTTAACTTTGATAAAGAATATCTCTTTGGTTTTGAGACTTTAGTCTTTGCAACTTCAGGGATCTTATCTATTCACGAACAGCTTGTAACACTCCAAAGAGAAAGGAAAACTTGAAATCGCATCATATGACCCCTTTAAGGCTTAAGCAAGGAGGAAATAGATATTTTTTAACATTCAACTAACCTGCCAAGCAACACTAATACTAATGTAGTACACTTATTCCTATAAAAACTCCTCACTGAGAGCCTTGAAATAGGCTTTCACCCTAAAGCACACTAGAAGGAGCGACGATGGAATAAATGGTGTTCGTATGAAAATAAGTCACTGTAAACGACTCTTTAATATATCGATTAATACTAAAAACTTGATGGATGTGTGTCTTATCATGTGAGAGTGTGTTGTGCCATAAGTCCACCTGTGAACGTCATACCTGAGAGCAGCGGAAAACGGCGAGACGTGTCACATTCACCCGACACATACACTCACCGGCTACAGTAGTGCGCACGATGCCAAAGTCAAGCACAACTGCCGCGTTATAAATCATTATTGAACAGTATACTTTAAAGCAGCTTACCGGTTGAATCTGATGGTCTGTTTGAGCTCATGACGATGCCTTTTTGTAACTTTAGACGTGTCAGTAATCCGGGAGAAAAGAGTGGTTTCCTGCTTGCTTCTTGAAGGGCGGGAGAGAGAGCGAGCGAGAGAGAGAGAGAGAGAGAGAGAGGTGTCCGAATCTGATTCGTTTTTTGAATTGGATCTTTTCAATGAATCATTTGAACTAGTCTGAGGTGCGTTTTCCAAAAGCATCGTTAGCTAATACGGTCGCAAGTTCCACTGAACTCTATTGGTAACGACGGCACTTGCTAGTTGAAACGCACCAATGAACGGCTCTCGAGTAAACTAATGAAGAACAATTGTATGAAGAACAATTGTTGCAAACAAAATACGGAAATATGTTTATGCCCATGTTGAGAAAGATGACAAACATTATAATTTTATCAGCTGAAAATGGCTGAACTGAAATGGGACACTTCACTAAAAACAAAAAACGATATTGAACAAGTTCTTTAAAACATATGATTCAAATGAACCGATTCGAAGCGAGTCAGACTTCCCATCACCACTGGGAGGAGTGTGAGCGCGCACTCAAAGAGAGCTCAGCTCACGAGGCCCTCTAGCGGAAATGAGAGTTCAGACAAGCTCTGAACTTGTCCAAGAACACGGTAGTGCCATGGTTACTATACAGTCATTGCCAAAAGTTTCAATAGTATGTTCCTGCACAACCGGAGGCTGCAGTTTCGGGACCGCAGTTCTAGGACCCTATTCTTTTGTAAGTGATCAGATGCATTTTTGCATTTTAAATAATTGCTAAAAGCTTCATTGACCGAAAAATGAACTTTTCACCAAAAAAACAAACAAACAAACTATTATTCACTGTTTTTTGATCCTGACCCAAATGACCAGCTAACATTAATTGACTAATCATATCAGCAGCACATGTGAAAGTGTGAACTAGTCAGGTTAATCACTATCATACTAATTAGATTGTAAGAGCAGACTGATTGCTATAAAAGGAGGGAAGAAGCACT